TATTCTATTCTATTCTATTCTATTCTATTCTATTCTATTCTATTCTAGTTTAGTGTAGTCTAGTCTAGTCTAGTCTACCCTTCCCTATCCTGTTCTGTTCATTTTTATTCTATTCTGTTCTGTTCTGTTCTGTTCCGTTTCGTTCTGTTCATATTCTGTTCTGTTCTGTTCTATTCCACTCCACTTCACTCTCTGATTTATTCTGCTCTATTTTATTCTGTTCTAATCTATTCTGTTCTGTTCTACCTTCTCTTCTCTTCTCTTCTCTTCTCTTCTCTTCTCTTCTCTTCTCTTCTCTACACACACACACACACACACACACACACACAGAGAGAGAGAGAGAGAGAGAAAGAGAGAGAGAGAGAGAGAGAGAAAACCCATGCCATTTCAGACATACAATATTGCTTTCATTTTAATTGGGCAATCTAGTGATTAAAGGTTTATATCCAGGCCATCAGCTTGTAAACAGACTCCTTCCCTGTTTAATCTTTTTCAGTCCTCCCTTCTGTGCCACGGAGCCCTCTTAGCAACTGGGTCTCACCAACTTGAAATAGTTATTTAAATCTGCAGCTCCATCTGGAATGGAGAGGGGGGGAAAAGCTAGGTAAAAAATAATTAAAGCCTTACAGCTGGTGTCAAGAGGTCTTTGGAAGGGTTTGGGGAAAACAGGGACAGAATCCAGTCTTTTCTCTTTAACAATGCAGCTTCCTCATTAGAAAAGTCTAAAGTACCTTCAAGATGCTAATTAATTTGGTGCCATCATGCATTTGAGTTTTTGATAAGACGAAGTTGATAAGGAACCCAACAGAAAAAGCTCCATTAGTCTCGAAAAGGATAATGCTCCTTGAGTTTTCTTTCTAGCAGTGTTTAAATGGCTCAAAAAATACTATTAATAATAATGAAATAACAACTGTTTAGAAGCTATCCCACTTTTAATTATTTTCAAGATCAATATGCAAAAGCAATTTTGTGAAGCTGGTTTGTTGCATTTTTCTAGGGAAATCTATCTAATCAAATACAAGGGTAGGCAACATAGATACGTATCCGTCTTGCAAACCTGGGCGAGAAAAGTTTCCAGTCACTGAATCTCCTTGCTGCCCCCTAGAGATGATATGGAGCTTTGCAATTCCGATCGGGAAATCCTCACTTTATAGAAGTGCAGGTAGTGTAAGTTCATTTAGTGATTGATCAAAGTTACAAAGGCACTGAAAAAAGGGAACTTGGGGCCATTTTTCACACTTACCACCTTTGCAGCATTCTCACCAGAGGTGGTATTCAGCAGGTTCTGAACAGTTCTGGAGAACCGGTAGCGGAAATTTCGAGTAGTTCGGAGAGCCAGCAAATCCCACCTCTGGTTGGCCCCGCCAACCCCATCTATTCTCTGCCTCCCATTGAGTCCCAGCTGATCGGCTGGGTCTCCTTTGGTTGCCCTGCACAGGAGAACAAAGCTGGAAAGCAGGCTAGTGGGGTGGGGAGGGAATGGGGATTTTACAGTATATCCTTCCCCTGCCATGCCCATCAAGCCACACCACACCCACCAAGCCACACTCACTGAACCGGTAGTAAAAAAAATTGAATCCCTCCATTGATCCCCACAATCAAAATTCAGATGCTCAGCAACTGGTTCATACTTATGCCCATAATTGTGCCTCGAGGTCACAATTTTTGTGACCTTTTGACAAACAAAGTCAAGGGGGGAAGGGGAAGCCAGATTCACTTAACAACCAGGTTACTAACTTCTCAACCCGTACCGAACCAGTAGCTAATTTTAGGGCCACTTCGGTGAAACAGCAAATCCCACCCTTGGCTGGTTCCCCACCCCCACCCCTCCCAGGAGTCCCCACGCGGCCTGTTTTGGATCCCAGGTAAGTGCAGGGCGTGCACAGAGGCTCAGGGAGGGCAAAAAAACAAGACTTCCAGAGGCTCCGGAAGGCCTGAAACGGCCTCCAGAGGGCCTCCAGAGCCAGGGGAGCCATTTCGCCTTCCCGGAGGCTCAAGGAAAGCCTCCGGAGCCCGGGAAGGGTAAAAACGCCCCCATCATGATGCAGGAGGCCAACTAGACCATGCCCACCATGGCCACACCCATCCAACAACCAGGCAGGTTGCTAAAATTTTTGAAGCCCAACCCTGGTCAAAAGGAACAACAAAATTCCATTGGCAACATTTCAAATTTGGGACATTTCTCTTGCAAGGGGAAAAAAATAATGTTTCTGGATTTCTTCCCATCTCTCTGTTTCTTCCTCTTCTCCTTATAAACCGTAAAATGTCCAATTAGCATTGTTCCTTTTCCCATTTCAAACAGGGACTTGATTTTTTCCCCCACGCTACTACTAATTAGGTATCATACCACTGGAAAAGAAACAACAAAAAAACATGAGAGAAAAAAAAAAGTACAATTAGCTCCAACTTTCTGGTGCCAAGAACCTTTTTTTCCCCTTTCCCCCCCCTGATTTGGAGATGTTTCAATCCAAGCGGCAGGCTTCTATGACATTAGAGGGACACCACAAAACTGGGAAATGGTTAACCTAGTTTATTCATCCCACACCACTTGATATATCCTCCTGCTTTTAGTTTGCAAGATTGGACAGTTCTGAAAAAGCCAGCATGTTCTTAAAACAAATGTGGCCACTTGCAATAATGAGCTGTTTTGCTGGCAGGAGACTGGTAGGATTTCACTGCTAAACTTCCACGTTGCTTGCAACTTAATGAAATCTGTGCATGCGCCATGATTAAAATCCACATTTTCTTCTAAACTTCCTTTCATATTCTCACTGTACAGGCTGTTTCCATGCTGCAAGGCTTTTAAGATTCTATTTTCACAGAAGGCAATTTAGAATGGAATAGAGCTGGAAGGAACCTACGTATATTTGTTGTGGTTCGCCGGCAGCCGCTGCAGACGGCAGAGGTATCGGACAGTGAGGACAAAAGGGAACCAGTCAAGGAGTCTGGAGAGGACTCGGATGAGGGTCCTGCATCCAATGCAGGGATGGGGCCAGGACCATCTGAGAGTTATGTGCTGACTCCAGAGCCTCCACAGTCTGGCAGCAGCGAGGCAGAGGACTTAGGGGAGCCTGCTCCCAGTGCATGTGTGCACAGAGCTGCTAGAAGGCAAGAGCAACTGAAGCAGAAGGGGTGACTCGGGAGTAAGGATGGGAGGTGATTGCCCCTCCCATAAGGGATAAAAGTCAGTCCTCAATGACGAAGAGCTTTGCAGGAAGCAAAGCAGTTCAGTAATCTCCAAGTCCTTTGTGAAGCTCTGTACTCTGGTCAGTTTTTTCTAGGTTTTTGGGTTGGTTTATGTTAATTGGACATCTGTTTCTTGGCAAGCATTCGACAGCACTGAGAAGCGTGCTCTTATCTGGAGGAATTGTGTCTAATGAGTTTTGGCTGGGAATGCAAGTAATTCCCAGCGTCTCATTAAAAAAGGTTTTATTTTTAAATTCAGTTTGTGTTTCAATAAGTTTGACGAAGCCTGGGTCAGAACAACATTGATGGAGCACCAGTGGTCGGATTCTGCCAGTTCGTACCGATTCCAAAGAACCGGTTGTTAACTTTCTGAGCAGTTTGGTAAACTGATTGTTGAAAGAAATCATTAGGGTAGAAGAACCGGTTGTTAAATTATTTGAATCTCACCACTGTGGAGCACCCACAACTTCTGGTGGCAAGGCGTTCCACTGGTTAATTGTCTTCACTGTTAAGAAGTTTCTTCTTAATTCCAGGTTGCTTCTCTCTTTGAGTAGCAATATTCTACCTGATGGGATAGCTTTTCAAAATTGACTGAATTTTGAAAAGTTTCAAAATTTGTCCCCTATAACATTATTCCATCTTATTCTGAGGATTCTTGGCCAACATATGCATATTAGCTGCTCCTAACAAGTCAAAGTTATAACAAATATTATCAACATATACATACAAACATAGATATACAGGTTGTGTGTGTGTGTGTATGTATATATATGTATGTATGTACATACATATATACATAAAAAACCTAGCTGGAATTCTTTTTTTAATTCCTTCCTGTCTGTCTGTCTGTCTGTCTGTCTGTCTGTCTGTCTGTCTGTCTGTCTGTCTGTCTATCTATCTATCTATCTATCTATCTATCTATCTATCTATCTATCTATCT